TGCACATGGAATGTGTTTACCAAGCTCATCTCGCATGCAAAACATCCCAATTAGAGAAATGGGGACACTGCAACGCTGCCTTTTCATTTCCCTGGCCGGGCCATGCCCAGTCAGCCTCCCAGGCCTCCTTTCAAGTGACACTATTAGAGGCCAAAATGTTTCCCGGGGGACGTGACGCGTCAGCACGGGCGGATGATGCAGCGGGTGCTGAGTGTCCCATTTCACCAGGTGGTTCCAGGCCCTTTGCCCTCCAGGGCCCCACTTTAAACTCTTCCCTGACAAATTGGGTCAGGCTGTTCATACCCCTGAGGCTTCAGCCTGGACATCCAGCTGTGAGGGCCAGCACCAGCCCTCACTCGCTCTCATGTTGTGCTCCCTCACTCGGATTTAGGCCTCGCCTTTCTCGACCAGGCTCCTCTGCTCTTGGGCTTTAGACTCTCTTTGAGGCCCAGCTTTGATCTCAGCACAACTTTGCTGCTTCTTTTGCCTTTTTTCCTCCTCTCCTTCATCCCAATCCGCCCCAAGCAGACAATTGTCAGTGGTTAAGGATGAAGGTTCCCCTCCCAGCATTCGACTGAAGGCACCTCCTTGACTTGGAGCCATCCCTATGACCAAGGCACGTCCTGCCCAGTGGATCCATGTCCTTCTTTGTGCCCAGGGTTGTGCCACAGCTTCTGGCACAGGGCCAGAGCCTTGTCAGGAATTCCACAGGACACCCAGTCCTGCCCAGCAACACAGGGAGGTGGTGGAGTCCCCGTCCCTGAAGGTGTCCAAGGAACAACTTGACATGGCATTCAGTGCTCTGGTCTGGTTGAGAAGATGTTGGCAGGTCAAAGGTTGGACTTAATCATAGGGAAGTCTTTTCCAGCCTCAGTGATTCTGGGATTCTGGGAGTCTTTGCAATGACAGACGGAGGAGCAGGGAACAAAAGGTGCCTCCTGCTCTCCCCGAAGAACAACCAGAGAAGCAGCAGCACCAAAGCACTGCCTGTGTGGGAAGGAGGGACAGACATCTGAGCTGGTGGGATACCAGGCCCTCAGGATCCCCAGGCTGGAGACAGAAGGGCCAGGTTGGGGGGACCAAAGGGTCACCGCTGGTCACCTCTCCAGGTCTGCACAGCAACTAGGGGGGCATTTTTGGAGCATTTGCTGCCCATCTGCTCCAGGCTCACATCCCTTCAGGACACAGTGACACACAGGGAATGACTCCTCAACAATCAATGCTTCTGCCCACGGGACTGTTCTAGTGGGGGGATAAAATGCTTCTCCTGAGTGCTCTGGGCTGGGGGACGAGGTAGGGATGGGGCACAGGGTGGACTTGGTGACCTTGGAGTCCACCCTCAGTGATTCTGTGATTCCTTCACTTGATTGGCCCATCCTCCGTCAATCCCCAAAGTCCCAAAATCTAGCAGAGGACTCACGTCTCCCTTTACACAGTTGCCCTGGGGGACCTGTCCCTTGAGCTCCTTGGGTTGTCCCTCGTGTTCCGGGGTTTGGATGTTGTGCTTGGATGGGGGAAAGGAAAACAACCAGCTGTAGGTGCAAACTTGCAATGACAGCTTTGGGCAGGTGGGTGTTGACCTGCACAGAAACATCTTGCAGCACCTCAGTGTTTTGCCTCGTCAGCTGATGACCAACCTCCCTTCTGGCTCATGTATCCCCTGGGGCACCTCATGGTCACCCTTTGCATGCTCACACAACACCACACCCTCTCCACTGTCCCATGTCACTTCTGATGACCGTGGCCCTGCTGAGGTTGCTCAACTCAGCCAGCCATGCAAATGATTCACCACCCACTTTCGTCCCCTCCAGGGCATCCCATTTCCCCGGGGAGCAGCTGGGCTGCACATCCCAGGATCGAAGGAACTCGAGGAGACTCCAGATACAATGCAACACGAACTTTAATGAGTGTAAAGAGTGAAACAAAGCAGTGAATTTTGGAAGGTCAGACAGCCCTGCCCAGCAGTGGGACACACAGTGCCTCCCACAGCCACGGGCAGGACCCCGCTGCGCTGGAGTCAGGGGGAACCCACGGCACAGCACAGCAGGAGACAACACGAGGGGCTCACGAGGAGCAGAAGAGAGCAGGACAAGCACAAGACATCAGCTGGCCACATTCACCTCCCTCCTCAGCAGGAGGAGGAAAGCCTTGTGGAAGCGCTGGCCAGCAGCTCCATCCTCAGTCCGGCTTTGGGCTTCTTGGGCGAGGCACTCGCTGGACTCAGGCCCGGCTTTAGCAGGGCAGGCACCTCCTGCCACAGTAGCGCCCACCAAAACCACCGAGGCCACCAAGGCTACCCAGGCCGTAGCCCCCGGAGTTGATGGGCACTCCCTCCTCGCTCAGGATGCTGCCCACGGCGGCGGAGGTGGTGGAGCCCACGGCGGTGTTCTGGG